CTGAGAAGGTATTTGATTAAGGTCCATGATTGGACCACTTAAAAGCTGTGTGTATGACTCAATGTTGTAGTTGGAGGGGATATCATAAGAAGGGCCAGATGGGTTAGTGTACTGGTAACTTTGATAAACTTCGTAAGGTGAACGTGAAGGTGAAACTTGTGGTGCATGTGATTCAACTGTAGTAAATGTAGCATATAATTCAATACCTGATTGAAGTTGATTAGAATCGTGAACATTGAAAACTGCCTCAACGTCTTCATCATCCGTCAACTCAACACAGGTATAGTTACTAACCCCTGGGCCAAGTCTAATAGGGTACCGAAAATGTATGCTAGCCACCCTCTCAGAATCTTGTCGATGTAGCTTTCTGTGGATGACTCTTTGAAGCCTTTCTAGAGTAATTCCTCTGTTGATACGAACTAATTTTGCAGATGGAGAAGAGAAGGTGATTCCTTCATTCGGACATTGGTTAATGGAACCATCAGAATGAACAATAACGTAGATTGAAGAAGTCATTTTATGAAAGGTTTAAAGGAAATGAACGTGATTCTAAGAAACTGATTCAAAAGGGGTACACGGAAGGAATAAAGGAGAGAAGCTAATCTGAAATCGTGTGAAAAAAATGAAGGGGAGAGGGTCTATTTATAGAAAAACGCAAGTTTTTACTGTTTACCCAGAACGGGCCGTTCCAAAACCAGAACAGCCCGTTCCAAATCAAAAAAACTTTGTAAAAACAGCTCCTGGAACGGGCCGTTCCGAAGCCGTTCCAAGAGTAAAATAATGTGTAAATTTCTATTTTGGAACGGGCAGTTCTAAAACAAAAACGGCCCGTTCCACGTTAAAAAAATTACCACAAAAATTTGTTTAAAACGGGCCGCTTCCAACATCTATTTCAACGTTAATTCTTAACGTCGGAACGGCCTATTCTTGGCCCGTTTCACTTTAACAAATGCCACTCTGTTCCTTTAAGCAGAACGGAGGCTACAAGCCCAAAGGAGAGAAGGCCCATATCAATTTATTTTGGTACACAAGGCCCATAGCATCAGCCAGAAGTTGGGCTGATTGACAGTGGAAATTCACGAAGGTGTTTTCAAATGTGGTTGTTAAACTTGTATGGTACAATTACATACATTATGAGTTAACTCTAGTGCCAGTGGAATAAAAAAATATCAAAGACATGCAATGTACCACATCATCTTCGTCCTCTCCCCCTATACATGAATATCATCTTCTTCCTGTTCTTTTGACAAATCGTCAAAATCTTTGGTAGCATTCGTTCTAGTAGTGCTTTCACTTTGGTTGTTGTGGTGGTCACACTTATCATAATCTACAGCTGTGGACATCACAACAACTTCTATGGCTTCACCTCCTCGTATTGTTTCCGATGGCACTAACTGAGTAACATTTTTCATCTCTTTGCTTTTGCCCCATAGAACCATGTACAAGCCACACACAATCAGCACTGCTCCAACCACACTATATAAATGCAAAACCAAACCAAATCATGAATACATATACAAGGCCTAAAAAACTAAGTTTAAAGTAAACGTTCGCATATAAAGGTAAATTATGATTTAGTGCATACCTTCCTACATATAAGTTCTCATTCAACATCAAAGAACCAGCAATAGCCACAAGCACAAGCATTAGAGGGTTGAAAATAGACGCAAACAGAGGCCCTCTCATCTGTATGCACCAAGCAGTGATAATAACCACTATTCCCGAAGCAAAGATTCCCTGCAATAAAATTTAATTCATGTCTAAAATTTATACAACTTAATAACCATGGTGATTATTGTAATTAAAAAAAAAAGAATATGTATTGTAAATGTACCGAATAAGCAACAGCTAGTAGCCTAATATTCCAACCCAACTTCCATTGGCTCAAATCCCTCTCAAAACAGAAACCAAAAGCAGTGGCTTGTATTGCTCCCGATGTAGACATCATAGCTGTGCTTGAGTAGTGACATGGGTATTCTTTGCTCATCTTAGCCTGTGCCACATGTCAAACGACAGCTTCATTCAGTCATGTACAAAATGCAAACAAGCTAAATTAAGAAGTTGTTGAGTTATGAATGTATGGATAAATTCTTCCGTAAGAATTTTTATAAATAAATTTCTATGTAAACTAAAAATAGTTTATGAATAAATAATTTGTAGAACTTGTTTTATATAATTTGTTTGTGTGAAAAATATATAATTACGCTGACCTGAATGGTGAGCCACAAAGCAAAAGAGAAGCAGCTTGCCACGGCACAAAGAGCCCCCAGCAAATTATTGTCAGGTGCCACGTGGCTATTTTGGTGCTGACGTGGATGCAAAAGGTTGATGTGGAAGGGCCATATATTAATTTCTGCTCCTTTGAAAAAGGTCAACATCATTGCCCCACCAATTCCAATTATGGTTCCCAACACCTTGGCCCTTCCTGCCGCTGCCCTCAAATTTAACCTTTCCAAACTACAAACAATTAAACAAAAGTAAGAAAATTATTACTGATAAAAGTAACTTTAATTTCCATTAATTACTAACTGTTTAATATTTCATTGCATGAGATGACCATTTTACAAAAGAAGATATGGCATAATAGAGTTGATGGTAGCATGCATGATGCAGGGGATGATTACCCGCAGGAGATGGCCAAGACAAAGGTGATGGCTGGAATGAGGTTGTAGAGAGCAGACGCAAAAGTTGCTGATGTTAAAGCCAAAGATTCATAGAAAAGGTTTTGAAACAAACTTCCCCTGTAACAATACATAACCATAAATATCATGTTAGTTAATTAACCATTCAAAAAATAATGTACTTACACATACATATATTTTCATTGAATAGTTACATAACATACCCAAATAAGCCACAAAGAAACGCCATGAAAAGCACCCTCCAAGTCATCTTTGGCCTTTTCTTCCTGTATAGAAGGAAAAAAAAGAAAAATCATTTTAGCAAAGTTAATTGGTCTGTTTCCCTGTAGTATAATAATTCTGTGTATTTACTGACTATATTCTTAAGCCAACAACAGTTAGAAGTACAAATCTTTCATACAGTCTTATAGACATTGTTGATGCTGTTTTCAAATCAGAATTCAAGTTTTACCTTGAAAATACGTATCAACATTTAATGTAATTGTTTATTATACATACTATTATTAAAGCTGAAATCTAATTCTAATCGGATAATAACATCATATAAGATTTTGTCCTGATTAGAATCAGAAGAAGGTGGAAGTAAATGATGGACCTTTCAGAAATGAGAGCAAGAGGAACAGTGAAAGCAGATCCAAAAGCGAGGCGATATGCTGTTGCTACTTTTACACTCATTCCATCGTTTATGGCGAGCTTGTAAAGCACATTGACAGCAGCGTATGCAATTTGAACTAGCACCATCAGCAATACTGGTTTCAACCCATGCAACACATTCCACATGCCCTTCATTTCAACCATTGTGATTGCTTCAAGCAACGTGAATAATGGGATTGCGGATAGTAGGAAATTATAGAGAGCGATGAAAGACTTTGAGAAGATGAAGATTTGATCGCAAGCAAAGGGGTATTTATACTTGTATGGGGATTGAAGATGTGGATTCCAAATAGTGTTTCTCATCCAAGGACCTTGGCAATTATTTACGCACTACTATTTTTATACAATTTTCATTCAGAAAAGAAATAATAAAATACAATCAAGTGTGCATGTACGTTCTTGGAAGAACCAATGACTGTAAAATTTTAAATGACTAATGAGGTGAAGAGGATTAATGTACATTTCTAGCAAAACACATTAGAGTGGGATCAAAAGTTTCAAATGTGGCTAAACTTTAAAGATTGGTCCCAAACATAATTAAATAAGCAAAATTTGTAAGAATGCATTGATATGTGTTATCCAAGAGTCAAAAACCTTAAGCACATTATTGGAGTGGGATGAAAAGCTTTAAATGTGGCTAAGCTTTGAAGATTAGTCTCGTATCATAAGCAAAATTTGTAAAAATATATTGATATCTTATGTAAGAGTAAAAACCTTAATTATACATTTATCATCAAATAAAAAAAAAATGTTTGTTCTTTGAAGAAATCTTCGAGCTTCTTTTTTCTTCGCTGCATTATCCTTCAAAATTTTGGTTAACAAACTAGTCTTGTAAATATTTGGGTACAAATTTCTTTGAGGAATTAATGTCTAAATATGTAAGAGACTAATAGGGCAATACATGTAAACAAATTTATTTATTTTATTATTTAAAAATGGTATACAATGATTAAAACCGTATGGTACAAATATTTTAAACGTGACAATATATATCCATGATACTAATATATGACTGCTTTTATATCAAAGTTTGACTATTTTTTTTATTGAAAGTTCAAAACTTTCGATATATATATTGATGTCTCCTATTAAATTCTTTCTTTAACTCATTTCTCTTTCATCTCTCATAATGTCTCCCTTCTCTTTCTCTGAACAAATAAAAATTTATTAATAGAAAAAATAAATGAATTAGAGAATAAAATTAATAAGAGAGAGAAAATATTTTTATTTTTATTTAAAATTAAATTAAATTACTATAATATCCTTTGTACGAATTAACCAAATCAAAATAAATGAGTGGTTTTTTTGTCCTAAAAAATTGGTGTAGGTTGCTAACATACTCCCACTAAAAAATAGGTGGGAGTACATTAGCATTCCCCTTTATAAAATTATTAATATTTTATATATAAAAAAATAAAATAAAACCGGAACGGCCCGTTCTGAAACTGGAACGGAACGTTCTGGTGCATTTTGGGTGTGTTAATTTTGCACTTGAAACGGGCCG